TCCTGGATCTGTAACAACTAAAAACCGTGACAACCTCAAAGTGTCAGGGACATTGTACTGGTTGAAGGCATCCTGAGTTGCGACTGACACTTTGTGAAAAGAGTGGAGATAAATTATTCCACTTACTAATTCTCTGCACCAAACCTTAGAAAGTCCCCAAAGTAAAAGAAGCAAGGAGGGAGGAGGGAGACGGTGAGTGTGGAAAAGACCTGCTAACGAAGTGAAGATTGGAAACCTTTGAACAGCAGGTGGCTCCAAAGGGGTAGACCGTCTATGCCAACGTTGTTTGCCACTGGATGCTACCAAAAGGAAAAGCTGGGACAGCTAACACAGGACGTTAAATATTTCATGCCTCATTGCTAGTCTCCTTCAAACACATCCCTCAGAATAATTTTAAGTCTCTTAGAGCGGAAACACCCTCTTGCACTACCTCTCTGCAAGGATTCTTTTCATTTTTAGTGTGAACACTGGAAGCATGTTTTAATGTGATGAATGACCATAGGTTAAAAAAGATAACATGTAATGAATGATCTGGTTGGTGTGTGCAAGAAGAATGTTTTAAAATTAAGTGCACTTTGAATATTAGACAAACTGCAATTTCATTAATGTGGATGTGAGCCAGGCCATTCACATTTTAGTATGCTGGGCTCATACATTCAAATCTTACTCACGATGTGGTCTGGCTCCGTTGTTTTCATTAAATTGCTGCCTCTCGGCAGGAACCCAGACAAACGGGGAGCCTGCGTGGTCCTGTGTGACTTTCTGTGGGAAGCTTCCATAAAGGGCTGCAGGGCTGTGAATAAGCCTTTTGGAAGAAATGTGAAGCTCCCATTGTGCTGAAACAAGGAGGGAGGCCAGTGGTGGAGTGTGGCTTGCTCTAGCTTTGCCAAATTACAGGGGGAAATTCATGGGGCCAATTGGAAAGCCCAGCTGCATCTTTCTAATCTGAATATATATGTGAATTAAAGAGTTCAGTTTTTATTTTTTTTAAGTTGGAATACAATTACAGCTGCACTAAGATGGTGATTAGAAATATATTTTTTAAATCTGTGTACTGTGTGAAAATGACCTATTGTGAGATATGGGGGATAAAATAAACTTCATGGGATCTTTGCCAAAAGTTCAAATGAAAGAAAGCTTTCTGCGTTGGACTAGAAGCCTCAGACTGTCAAGGTCTGACTGCATCTGGCAGGCTCCTGCGTCCGCTCAGATCATCCATCCCCTCTTTTCTAAATGAATGTACAATGTGCTGTACCCAAACCCAGAGCGAGGCTTCTCTGCTGGCCCCTGTAGTACAAACACATCGGGCCTGGAGTTGATGGGACGCTCGGCCTCACTGCAGGACTGTGTGCTCAGCATGTCTTTCTGCCACTCAGTCGCACCTGGCTCAGCACCATTCCATGGATTTCACATGGCTCTTTCACTTACAGACACATGGGAACTGTAGATCCTTGGCCACCACATACTTCGTCCCCCAACAGGGCCTGTCCATCTGCCATCCTGGATGCGTACACCCAGGGCCTCCTTGCTGCACATACAGGGGCAGTGTTAACTCTGAACGAAGCATCTGTCTTTGTCACCGCTGGTTGTAGTTAATCAACACATTCAGTGGGACCAAATGCTGGTTTATTCATTACGAGACTCAGAAAGCAGAGCTTTAGTCATCCAAACATTTCTCAACCTTACACACTGCTGAAAACACTAATCCTGCTGACCTCAGAGCTGGTAGATAACTGGAAAATTTCAGAAAAAAACCTTGAGGACTCCTTTCATGGCTTCAACTACAGCTCAGGCCTACAAGAAATCAAACACACACTCTGTACACAGTTGGGTGTACACCTTTGGAGTTCTGGGTGGGGAGTTCCTTTGCCACACTGGTGTGCAACAGTCAGTGTAGTTGTGCCTGTTACCTTAACACATTGCCAAGCAAACACACATAGAGAAGCACAGTCATCAGAGACCAGCGAGGTTAATGTCCCAGGAACTGATCCTCACAGACACCAGTCAAGGTGTGAGGGCAGCACGTGACAGCAGCTATTCCTCGCTAAGTTCTAAAATCCGTAGCTGGCCTTATGACAAGGCATAGGGGCCTGGCTGAATGATGAGTGACTGCAAAGCCCATTCAGGGACAGCAGGTTGAGAGTCCACATTTACTGACACATACAATACCAATATTAGCAATAATGAATCTGAACTCCGGTTCTTGGCTTCAGAGCTGCAGATTTTTTCTGATGCTCTGCTGTTTTAAAAGGGCAGAAGTGTCGTTATCATTTTCACTTACAATTGGGTCTATGAAATACATAAAACAGGTTCCTTTTACATAAATTTAAAAAGTAAAACATTTTTTTAGAAAGAAAAGAAAGACATTAGGAAATCTCCTAACATTTTATCTAGTGTTTAGGGCTGAAACCCCTTGGGTTCCACAGAACCCATCAGTGACCTGCTCCTGGTTAAAGTCGGGCATGCTCTTCCAAACAGAGCTTTGAGCCAGAATCCCAACGCCCTGAGAGCCAACTGCTAGACCTCACAGTCTGTTAACACATCCCCTAAGGCCTTCCAAAGCAATTCCATCACACCGGTCACTGCTTTTCTTTCGTATTTATTAATTTCATAATATTCTGTAACTTGTAGATGCATTTCAACAATTATTTCTTAAGAGTTTGCATTAACTCCAAAAGGTGAGTGGGACAGAGGCAGGGGATGCATGAAATGGGTGAAGTATCTTGGATAACTTAATTTGCAATTCCCCAGAGCTCTGAACGTAATTTCTTACTTTTAAGGAGTATGAGTTCCAAACCTTCTCCTCTTTGCAAAACTTCCCTTGTACTTCACCTTGTCTGCCATCCCAACGCTAGACTCCCAGGAGCAACTGCCAGCTTCCCATTCCTGAGAATGCCGTGCTCCAGAAGGGGTGCAGAGGATCCTGGGAATATTTGGGAATCCTTGGCTGCTTGCTCAGCGCCTTCTTGCCACTTCCCGTTATAGGTCTCCCTGAGTTAAGCACTTCACACCCTCCCTCAGACACGAGTCCCTTTTCCAAGGCTCGTGCACGTGGTCAAGTTCTGAAATGATCAAGCGTTAGAGGTTAACACAGCAGAGACGAAACTTGCTAAGACGTTAATGAAAGGTACTGCAGGGTTTCTCACCTGTTCAAAGAATCAGACAAGTGAAGCTGCAGTTTGCAGACTTTGAAAGGAGATGGATCTTTCAAATCTCAAAACTTACTATGAACCTAGAAATGCCATTTCTGTTGAAATGGAGAAAGAAAACCTAATTGATGTAGAACAGCATTTATACAGTCTGAATCTGAAACTTAAATTTCCCTGAAATTAGAAAAAAAAAGAACTCCAATATAAAAGGAAAAGATACTATTGAAAATAAAATAAGGACAAGAAAACAAAACTGTCATTATTTGCGTAGGAAATATTTCTGCATTTGGAAATTGTAGCTAAAGTGGGAAAATTCATATCTGAATTGAGCATTGTGGCTAGAGCCTTGTTCAATCTAGTAACTGGTAAATACATGTAATCAAGCTGCATCGCTAAATGACAAAAGAGACAAATTTAAATGAATATGATAAAATCAATTTCACAATGAACACAGAATGTGCATATCTTTCACTCCAAAATTTACCAGACATTCTTCAGAATACTTGAGACAAAGAAGAATGAAAATGAGAAATTCAGATGAGTGAAACAGAAGTTAGCATGTTGCATCACCAGTGCCAGCAAATAGACAAGGAGGCAGGCTGGTTGGGAAGGGCTGCATCCTGAGTGATGGGTGCCACAAGGCAGGTAGCTGTCTTCCAGAGCTGTGTGTTCCTGGGTGACATTCTTTACTGAATGTGCAAAACTATAATGTGTGAGTAGAAACTCAGTGCATTGGCCACACTTGTCAGAAGTCTGCCCAGACAGAAATGTGGACAAGGAACACGTATCGCGAGAGACCACGATACAAGGGCATGCACATCTGAGTGAATCTGAAGCATGCTAAATGCACCGATGGCAAGCAGAACAGCACCTGAGGAATACTTGTTGAACCTACACTGCTTATCGAGAGAACCAGGAACCCCACACGTGTTCCTCCAGGTACTGGCCCACCATCAGTCTTCCGGGTATTAAAAAAAAAAAATGTTTTCTGCCACTGACTCTCAGTTTTCCGTTTTTCTGAGCTTTGTGTACGTGAAATCATGCTTGACGTGCTCGTTTCTGCCAGACAACCTTCACTCACAATTACGTTTGTGAACAGCTAGCACGCTGCTCAATGGAGTTAACTCGCTTTCATCGCCTCCGTGGCATTCCATTTGTTCCAGTGAGCCAGAAGCATTTCTTTGTTCTAACTTGACAGACCTTTCCCACAGTCACGGTAATATCCTCTGTGGGAAAATGTTTTCATTGAGTAAATATCAAGGTGTGGGATTATTGATCAAGGCAAGTTGCGTCCATGTGAATTGATGCAGCCAAACGTTCCTGGCTGTACTTATTTTACATGCTCGGAGAGATGTGTAGGGGCATCCTATTATAATTTCAAAGTGCATTTTCCCAGTCTATACTAAAGTGCGTTTTCGTGTGTGTGGTCACTGTGTGTATCTCCTGAAGTGAATGGGCCTTCTCACCTCTCTCCTGAGAAGGCTGGCTTTTCAGACTTGCTGCACATCATGTGACCATGGAAAATCATGACTTCATAAGACTTCCATAACCCTGTGTTATCTGCCTTTCCGCACACCTGTGAACCGTGCCATGATGGAGCCAGGTAAGACTCGCTCTCTCCAAGCATACGATTCTAGCTTTATTAATACCCTGGACCTCTGCATTTCCACCAAAAACTGCTCCCATCTGCTGCTCAGAGTCCACATGCACCCGAAGACAAAATTCTGGGATTATTTTTAGTGTTTGTTTGGAACTATAGTACATTTTGAAGACAAGCTTACCTTTGCAACAGTAACTCTTTTAATGGAATAGTTCTATATTATTATTATTGTTGTTGTTGTTGTTGTTGGCCAGGGGCGAGTGAGAAGACCTTCCCTACCTCCACAAATCACGCAGCCGAGGTTCCCACATTTGGGGAAGTCGCAGGGGTCAGTACCTCCACATTGCGAGTGACCAACCTCGCCCTGGAGAAGCTACCTTCGTGATCACAGTATCACCCCTGCCTGACAGGGATCTGCAAAGGTTTATACTTAAGGAAAACCCCAACCGTTGTTCAGTTTCACACATTTCCCTGCTGCATCCGTCATGGAGCACAACAGAAACTAGTCACTGCTTCTGTGTAAACGTTCCACGTTCCCTTCTTCAGTCACTGCATCTCTGCTGTTCTGTCACCTTAACGTTCCTGAATGTTTCCTCTGCCGTTACCTTGCCTATATTTTATCTGAAAATTTAAGCACATTTATAGTTATTCATGAACATTTATGGCCATTAAATAGTCAGTTATTCCCTTGCATTCTAGTTTTCACGGTTAGCTATACATCTATGAATTTATTATATGTTTGCCCGTTCATTATGCTGCTGTTGTTTCATGGAGCCATAATTGGTGCCTTTCAGTTTACTAACAGTATTTGGAATGAGTCTGGGACGCTGCAACCCCCATCAACAGCCCCCTGACTCACAGTTCGACTGACCTCTTCATAGATCCCCATCTCTGACGGAATCCTCTTTGACCCATCGCTGCCTCTAACGTCTAACTCAACTGTGGAGTGGCCTTACTCAACTGAATATTACCCGACTGAATATTGTGCTTTCTTATCTCTTTGCATTTCTTATATATTTTCTAACTTAGTCTTCTCTTTGGCTTAATTTTTGCTTTAAAATCGCTGGCAGATTATTGAAATACAATTCTCATGGCAGTCACACATGCCCTTAAAGCGCACAGTCATGGATTTTTAGTATATTGGCATTGTTGTGTAACCAGCAGCACAATGCATTCAGAATATTTTCATCACTTCAGGAAGAAAGCTAGTAAACTTTGGCTCTAACCATCTCTGCCCTCTTATCCCCTCAACTAAAGGAACATTAACTTTCACTATCTATATAGTTGACAGTTCTGGATGTTTTATGCCAACAGCACATACACTACATGACTTCTCAGATCATTTGTTTTATTTAGCATAGCATTTAAATGCTTGTGGATGTTACAGTGTGAAGTAGTGTTAACTTGCTTTTTCATAAAACATGCTCCCATTTCCCGACTGTATCCCATTTTCTTCTACTGCTCACCAGTTAATGAAGCTGTTGGGTGATTTTGTAGATGAGCAATGGGGTGGTCGTGGAGCGTTCCATGAGGCTGTGCCAACACGGTCAGGGCCTGCTGCACCTTGACACCAGGGTCTGTCCCTGAAGTCTCCTTTTCCGGGCATGTGGTCTTTCAGGTGTTTGGCCTGTCTTTCTGGTCCCTGACTCCATATCCACAATCAAGCCTTTGAAGTGTCTCTGACTTTATTTATTATGTCAGTTCTGTTGGCCTTCAAAATGCTGTTTTTAAAATCATTTTTCAGAAAGTAATCTTCCCATGATTTCGATCTACTAAAGGACATTTTTCCTACCTGGAATTATAGTCCATCTAGTCTCTTTGTAGCTTTCAGTGTAAACTTTCTAAATTCCCTTTAAATAGTGCTCACAGTGGAAGGGAAAACTGTAAGCTTCCATCTGGACACTGCCTTCTCTGTCCTAGCTAGCTCGGGCTTCTTCCCTCTCTCACAGTGGCCATCAGGGACTCTCAGGAGCACCAAGTTAGCTCAGGTGACAGAGAGAAATCTAGAAGCTCAGAAAAGAAGCTTTTCTAAGGGAAATGTTAGTTAGTCTGTAACTGCTCAGCCTGTATCACTGACCAGCTCCCGACAGGGCATGTTTGCCATCTCCCTCTTCAGCTTTAGTAGAGTTCACTGAGGTAGGATACCCTCACTGCCCTAAGGCAGACTTCATGTCTCCTCATTTGCCAAGTTATTTGGGATTTCTCAGCTCATTTACTTAAGATTCTGTGTTCTTCAATTGCCAGTGCCTGGCTTGTTAGCCTATAAATTAGTAGATTGCATGCCTCTGCTTGGAAGTGTATAAAGTTCTGTAAAATCTTGTTGGGATACTATGAGCTGCTGGGTTATTACACATGAAACTAGTTTAAATCTTGTGCCATCTACAATGTGACTAGCAGGTCTTGTAACAGAATGTTTTGAGTCCTGTGCATTTTGTTTCAGGCTAGATGTCTTCCTGCAACTTTCAAGGCTTACAACAATGGGTAAAGTGTAACTGCTAAATCTAACACTTGCCGGTTTCCTAACTAGATGCAAAACTACTACGACATTTTCAAAGGTCAAATGGAACAATTGTTAAAGTTAGTCAAGAAGTCAGCTTGCATTTACCTGTCCTGTGATGGGTTTATATTCTGATGCACATGCTATTCCTTTCATTATTTCAGATAACAATTTCATACAAATCAAAAGATTTAAAAAAAGAGTGCTAACTTGTCTAATCGTGCCAACTATAATGCCCACAACACCCAAAGAGCACTACAATTCTATCGCCATGTATTTGATTTTTATGCTGAAATACTGCTGAGCACTTTGCAGCTGTATCTGCTTCTGTTTCAGGGCCAGTGGTGTTGGGGCAGCAGGCTAGCTGTCGACTTTGACAGCGGCATCCTTCATCACAGCTTAGGATGGAGTCCTGCCTCCTCCACCTTGAGTCCAGCTTCCTGTCTCATGTAGCAGAGCAGCATGGCATACTCAGCACCTGGCTCCATCCTGACCAGCCAGGACTGTTGTGCCTATGTGGAGCAATGAGCTAGAACAACAAATTCCTCTCTCTTAGTTCTCCCGATCAAGTAAATACATATTTAAAAGGCAAAAATCCTGATTCTGTTTCTTTTTTAATCTCATTTCTTATTTCCATCACTTCACATTTGGGTTTTTATGCATGTACCCCCAATGTTTCTAGCACCACATGAAAGTTACATCTGTGTTACACTTCTTAAACATAACTTTAAAAACTTCTATTCGTTTGAAAATTTTAACAAATTCTATATTTACAAAATTATGCAACACTTTCAATAGATTTTGAAGCATTTAAATCAAATTTAAGCATTTTGACCTTGAACAGTAGATATATTTTAATTAAAAGTATTATTCTTTGTTAGAACTCAAGGTAGGCAGATCTCTGTAAAATTATAGTATTTTTTTAAATGACTCTAGTAATTTCTCAGGATAACACAAAGTGTAAGTTAAAAATATAAATTCACAAAAATAAATGTAAGTACAAGATTGAAAATAAAGATGTAATTCAATACTAAGAGTTAATTCAATGTATATATTTGACATTCAGTTTGAGTGCTTAGCCATTGCAGATTAATGGCTAATAACATAGCCACTAGGTTTTGATTTTGCTCTTATTAGCTGCATCTGGGTAGTACCTGGCGCGGTGGCGCAAGTGGTTAAGGTCCTCGCCTTCCACGCCCAGGATCCCATATGGGCGCCAGTTCTAATCCCGGCAGCCCCGCATCCCTTCCAGCTCCCTGCCTGTGGCCCGGGAAAGCAGTCAAGGACAGCCCAAAGCTTTGGGACCCTGCACCTGCGTGGGAGACCCGGAAGAGGCTCCTGGCTTCGGATTGGCATAGCATCATCGGCCGTTGCGCTCACTTGGGGAGTAAATCATCGGACGGAAGATCTTCCTCTCTGTCTCTCCTCTCTGTATATCTGCCTTTCCAATAAAAAAAAAAAATAAAAATAAATCTTTAAAATAAATAAACTGTGCAGTGAAGAATTCTGTGATTGATGTGTCAACAGCTGGAGTAGGGAACTGAGTGACACAATGTCACCGAATGCAGCACAGTGCTACACAATGTTACAGAACAAGAGTTCAGGACTGAGTAACACAAGATGAAGGCTGCGGCAATGCTCTTCAATACTGATTTTCTTCTACATCCTGGTGCCTTTTGAAGAGTGTTTGAACTACTTTCTTTGAAAATAACATTTGAGGAAGAAAACAAATGAAGCATTTTTATAAATACCCTTTATCTCACTTGGCCCTAAATCATAATCTCCCTCTTCTTAAGAGGACCTGACATTATAGGAGTCACCAACAGCATTGCACTTTGCTGTCATTGTTCTGCCTGAACAGGTGAATAAATTAGGTCAGACAAATTCAATGGGCAGTGGAGACAGCCAGAGGGCAGTGGAGATAGCTGATGACATGTCCTTGTTTTGGGATGACATCTCATTGAATGACAATAAGATTCCGGGGGCCCAGCTGGGATGTGATGCCAGCAGGAATGATGGCCACATTGAGTACCTGGCAGTACTGACAATACAGACATCCTTCCATCACCTCCCAGCCTGTCCTAGGAAACACTTCATGGTTCCTCTGTAGTGATTTCTCTTTTCCTAATCTGTCCTCCTAAATTCTTCCATCTTTACACTATCCATGAGGAAGATGCTTACAACATATTTTAAGTGGTATGTGTGTGTATGTTAATGTAGTCTATGCCAAAGTACATTTAGTCAAGACTTCGGAAATAATTAGCACTTTAAAAAATAGTTATATCATGTTATTATGTATAGAGCTCTGGGGGAAACAAGGGAAATATAATGCAAGGATCATGAGTCATTTTTGAAATCATGTACATTCAAGAAGAGTGAGGACTTATGAAAGGTTTTCAGATGACATGCGTGACTTTGAGGGGGTTAACATCCAGTATGCGTTCCTCCATAAAGGCTGAAGCCCAGAGCCCGATGCTTCACAGGGCTCTCTGTCCACTAACCCATCACCATCGCAACTGGCATGGGATACTGTCCCAGAACGATGAAAGTCAGAACAGAGGAGACTTGTCCTGTGGTGCAGACACAGCAAACACAATCTCAACGCACATCCAGAGGAATACAAAATCTCTGGGGAAACAGTGGTTTACAGCATGTTCCTTAATCCAGTCATCAAGAATGCCTTAAGACAAAAATTCATAAATATGCTTTGAGTATATATGAAGCATCGTTACCTCATCAGAAATTTCAAACCACAATGATTAATATCAAAAATATCTAATGGGAAAAGCATGTAACTACAACAACAGATGAAAATGAAAGCAGTAAGAAGCTGTAAGAAAGAATCCAAAGGAGATAGTCTTTTCCTGTAGCTAAGCTCTTTCAGGAATGAGTTTGCTGCGATAAGCCGGGAAACCTT